GCTTAATTTTCAGGAAACTCATTCATTTTAAATTTTTATTCTAAAAAGTTTCTGCCATATATTAGTTTAATTTGAACTTTGCACTGTACTTAAACCAAGCAAGCAAGCAAACAACCATAATGAAGTGTAACTATAAAAGGTTAATTAGGCAATAATAATTTTTTTAAAGTTTCAAGGGTGTTAAGATTACTTCCTTTCTATTTATTTTGGATCTCTCAGATGTAATTTGGCTTCCTTCAGAGTTTCCTGCTCAATTCCAAAGTTAATACGTACTTAATTATTGTTAAAAATAATACGTGCACATGGTTTTAAAACAAGTCAAATTATACAAATAGATATAAAATGAAATAGAAATACTTCTTTCCTTCATTCTCTCAATCTCTCCAGCTCAATTCTTAGGCTGTTTCTTTTTAGTGTCCACAAGTAATAGTTTACTATGTATCATTCTCGATAAAAATGCTATGCCTGTTCAAGCATGTATGCATGTGTAAGTATAATTTTACTTTTTTTCCTGTTTTTAATTTATCCGTGTTCTATGCCTATATTGTTTTGGCTAAAGACATATTTTGGGTAGGAAATTCATTTGCTTTATTCACCATTTTATATCTAACTCCTAGAATAGTGTCTGAAACAATATATAGATGCTTACATAACAATACGTGTTGAGAGGATCTTCCACCACACAAAGTGCATGTCTCTTGCATTTGTGTTATTTTACCAGTCTTTTCAAAATTTTATTTTACCGGTTTTATTTTTTATTTTACCAGTTTTCTGTTGATGAGCATTCTGTTGATGTTAGGTCTGTTTTTCTGCTGGTCATCTGTTCATCTGTCCATCCACCTGTCTGTCCAACAAATATACACTGAGTACTTACTGTATGCCAAACACCCTTCCAAGGATATAGATGAAGGAGAAAATCAGGGGCCTTGCTTGCATGTAACTTTCATGTACATAGTTGGCTGAGGTATAGCGAAAACAAATGAAATAAATCCCAAACAAATTAGTTTCATGCAGGCAGTAGCATAGGCAATGTGATGAGAGGGGAGTTTCTACTTTTATATAATAGGATGGGCAGGCAAAACCTTTTTGAAGAGATGACTTTTGAGTGAGGCCTACGTGATGAGAAAAATGGTTCAGTGCTCTAGAGAAGAGGATTCTAGGTGGAGGGAATAGTACATTTATAAAACTCTGAGGCAAAAAAAAAAAAGTTTGGTGAGTTCGATGAACAGAAAGAAGTCCAGTATGACTAGAGCAACAGCAGATTCTCTTACAAATAAATACTGCTTTAATGAGTATCTTTGTACATAAAGTATGTTTTATTTTAATATTAATATGTTTTAAATACTTTTGTAGTGGAACTGAGGGGTCAAGTTGTATATGCACTTTTAACTTTTGATAGCTGTAGTGCAGGGCCACTTTTATCCCTTACCTCTTCTTGCTTTTGCTGGCTGTGAGGAACTTGGGTTGTCCGGAGCTTGGTAGGGAGTGAGTGGTGTGAGGCACAGCGAATGAAAAGGAATTCTTTTGGGGAGTGGATGTGCCAGGGACTATGAATGTTTCAGGGACTTTTGTCTAATAAGATGAAAATTCAGCAGTAGAACATATGCATATATTCTATATGTTGAGTTATGTGATAAAATATGTGGCTCTCCTTTGGCCTATTAATGAAATCATTTCCATGCAGAAATTATCAATGTTTCTCAATCTAGGACATACAAAAATCAGAGTTTTTTAGAGTTACAGTGGAATATGAGGCAGTGCTATCAATGATTGCTAGTTTGACACTGTTGGATTCAGTTTACACAAATTCGTGATTAAACTAATGAGACATTAGGGAAAAAATGCCATTAACCAGAGTCAGCCAAAAACTTTTGCTATAATGTGACTTCCGTAGAGGAAGGTAGGAATGGCATCTCATAGTTAAAATAGCTTTTAAAAAAGTCTTGGGTTTTGTTACTTTAGGGAATGAAATCCCATTTTTGAATGCCTATCAAAAAGGCATTTAATTTTAAAGGATAAATGTCAGAATCATATACTTTTTTTAGGCAAATGAGAAATTTTAGGCTGGTCGAAGAACAAATTTTGTTTCATGAGGTGTTTTACTGCTGAGTTAACTAGCAGAGACAAGTCACATTTGAGAGCATAAAGGTGTTTAAATTTCTTTAATCTACCTTTTTTGATAGGATGAAGTTATGAAATTTTGGCAGATATATTCAGATTCCCATGTAACTGTAGCGAGAATGCTGTATGCAGTTTCGTTCGTTATTATTTATTTTTTCTTCTACGTAATAAGACTCACTTCCTTTGAGAATTAAAAACAATTTGGAGGAATGAGATTAGGAATCCGATGGAGATTTTAATTTAACAGATGCTAATATGGTATGTTCTGTCTGTTATATTAAAGATTTCCTTTTTCTTCTTTAACATGGGTAATTTTTCCCAGCACAACTTATAAACAAACTTTAGTTGGAAATCAATTTTATTTTGCTACTTGAAGCAGGTATACATTAATAATGATAAGGCAATTAACTTATATTTTATCTGTGTTGTAAAAGTTAGGATTTTGATTAAGAAGCCTCATCTGATGTCTACTGTAACTCATCCCACTAGTTTTAATGTGGACATACAATTTTTGATTAAAACAAGTTATATCAAATCTTTAAGGTGAGTATAAGGAAACAAATTAGTATTTTATTAGTCTTAATCCTTTGTCCTAAAATGAATAGAAGTGTAAAATTTGTTGCATGTTTACAGAAATATTCTATTCCTATTACAATATGTAGGTATATAAATTGTAATTACTTGGTTCATTAGAACATCTAATTTTTGCTTGACAATATGCAAATGTGACATTAAATCTGTTTTTTAAGATTTTTCCAGTTTAATGTCGGAATCCAAATTCATAAAGAGTTGGAAAAATGAGATGTCTGAGCTATAGGATTCACAGGGATTTCGTATGAAGCCTATTTAATCAGGATAACACTGTTATTAATATTCATAGTGTCAGCTGGAACACAAATGACAGACTATGGGGCCTAAAAATTTTACTTGGTGAATTTATTAGGAGTAGCTTAAAAAATTAATGGAATTTAAGTAAAGTTGGTGAATATGAAAATCTTGTGTTAGCACAAAAAAAATCTCTATTAGAACTTTCTTTAAAATCATATTGCATTGATGTCTTTTGACAGCTTTCATTGGTACTTAAAGAAGAAAGATGCATGAATGGTCATTTAAGAGGATTTAAACACATTGGCACATTAATTTTTACATGAATAATAAGTACTTTCCAAAAGCAATTAACTTACAGTGTACAAGATATGAATTGAAAAATAAGACTGTGACATCAAGGGCAAAGCAAATGTGCTATACATTTTAAACTTAGTGGCAGGACTTTTTTAATATTTTTATTTATTTGTATAGTTTGCATAGGCTATGGCTTAGAATATTGTTATTTTAATGCATTTGAAAGCATGTTAGAAGGGCAGTAAAGCTTCTGCCCTCTCCAAAAATATTGATAGTGTTAAACATTATCCTCTGCAAGTATCATTTGCATTTATTGGAGAATTAAACATTTGTTGAGATATTGGTAATATTTAAGAATATGGTCAGTTTTGCAGAAACTCAAAGGGATGATTGATTGTTTAGTGATACAAATATATATGTGTCAACACAGACTTATTGATTATAGCATAACAGATGTATAATAAATATGCTTCTTAAAGTTTAGTATGAGAAGTTTGGTTAAGAATCATCTGAGTAGCGTACAAATAAATTTGTTTTGTATTTTAACCTAAGAAAGTAAAAACTTGTAAATGGCTTAAGTAAAACTGAGATGCATTTTATTTTTTGTTTTAAAATATGCTTAAAATGGCATTATACCAGTGCTCTAGTTTTTATTTTCATTATTGAAGTTCATGAAAAACAATTTTAGACCATTATTGGTAGTCACAATAAGTATTTTGTTTTATATTTTTCAGAGATCATTTTTCTTGTGAATTTTAGTTCTTATAAAAGCATAGTTTAGTTATTATCTATAACAGTCCACTTAGGGTTTACCGATGAGAGAATATAGGCATTGGCCTGGCAGTCCGTATGGGTACTAGAAGTTTCACTTGCAGTCTGTCAGTGTTACGTATGAATGATTTAGTTTCATTAAACATAGAGAAATAGCCTGGTATATTCAGTTTGATTGGAAAAAGCATTAATTACCAGGGTGTGTAGACATTATCACAATTAAAGTTTTTAAATTAAATGTTTTATATAACTAAAAAAAATCAATATATTGGCTATTATTTTTTTCTAGTGGCTTTTTATTTATTTTATTTATATTATTTTTTTTCTAGTGGCTTTTTAAAAGTTAGGTTTGGGGCGGGGTGGGGGGGGTGGTTGTTTTGTTTTCAGCTCTGAGATATTCACTTGTATGCCCAGCAGAGGGCAGCATTTTACTGTGTCAGCCTCCTGAAAGCATTAGCCCTGCTTAGACTGTCAATGTTTCTTGTAATTACTCCCAGTATATTTGTTGCTTGCTTATGAATTAACTTGCATTTATGGAACTAAATCATTCCAATCATTTAATTACACCTGAGGAGCTGAACTATAATTGCTTGCTTCCAACTAGGATCTGATATGGCTTGAGCAGTATTAATTTGATGTTTACTTTTCTGAGTGCTAAAAGCATTAAAATGATTGTGCAATGGGATTACATTTTACTAATTGCTGGCATTCATTAGCTGGGTAAATGATGAGGAAGAGTGACTGTATATTGCAGAGGGATAAAATTATGGTTTTAAATAGTATATTACTAAGCACATTAAGGCCTGTAAGACATGTTTTAAAATACTCCAGAGGTTATTAAAGACTGTATTTTCTACATGTCTTGCTATATGAATCTCTTATTAAAAGACTGCAATTATTATTAACCTTTTTGGGCAATATGTAGGGAAATGGCTTCATTGACTGGAACATATTTCTTTGATATTAATAACTTCCTATATTTTCAGCTAATCCAAAAGTAAATGAGGAACTTAGAAAAAAGATTGCCAACTCCAGATCAACATATTTAGAGAAAATTGGAAAAGAAGAAGCTTACTACAGCTTTATTTGAGGACTTTTTAAAGAATGCAGAGTTCTAGCTGTGAGGTAAATCTAATTTTATTCTTCCTAAAAGCATGCAGATAAAGTTGCATAGCTTTTGTCATGTTTATTATGAAAACAAATGCAAGAGAAATATCAATTCCACAAACCAATGATACTCTAATTTTTTAAAAATTGGAATAGCATTCTTAAATTACTTTTACAAATATAAAATATTTATATGAAAATATACATTGTAAACTCAAATCACTAAATTTGAAATTTTTGGTATAAAGTTGATGAATAGACTACAAAATTTATTTTTTCTTAAATTGTTGAAATTACAGTTGAAGAAGACTTAAGTTAAATAAACTAAATGGTTCTCTAACCGAAAGAGGCAAAAATATCTAGAAGCTTAACCTGCACTGTATTTACTAAAATGTAAGTGTGAACGAAAGAACCTTTTTCTGAGAAAAATGATTTAATTTTACCTGTTGAAATACACAGCTAATTGTCCCATTATAAATGTTTTAGAAAACCATTTATCCTGTAAATTCTCTGTTAAACAAAGGTAAGGCTTAGGTGTGTTCTGATATATTGTTTTAAGTTTATTTATCTAGCGTTGGTTTTATTTTAGCCTCAACTCTTGGAGCAAAAACCAGAGACATTGCCAGAGCAAACAAGAACAGAAGTACAAATGGAGGACTGGTCAAAAGGTAAGGACTTTTAAGGTATTAATACCAAACCCCAGGTGTTGTGCTAGTTCAGGGCACTGAATGGAGTGTGTTTGTTCTAACCAATATATTAGAGCAGACAAGCACACGCGCACATGCACCCCACACACAAAGAAGGAGGCTGACACAAAGAGACCCACATTCTACAAAAGAGACACAAAGAAAGACACACAGGGAAAGAGACACACACATGCACACAGAGAAAGAGACATAGGAAGAGATACTGAGAGAGAAAGACCCAGACAGACACACAGGGAGAGAGAACGAAACACACATACACACCAAATGATAGAGATTGAGAGAATGACTGGGGGAGAGATGCATACGGAGAAGTAGCTTCAGAGAAAGAAACACAAACAGAGAGAGAGAGACACACAGGAAGGGAGACACTCTCCTGAGTAGAGAGGCAAAGAGAAAGACACGTGTACAGATAACACGCAGAAAGCACACGCATTCTGAGACTCAGAAAGAGAGATACCAAAATACGAGAAACAAAGTGAAAAAGAGACAGAGACATACAATGAGACAGAGCGAGAGACAAAAAAGAGACACAGAGAGAGAGAGGCACAGGCATACACACAGACATATTCAGAAGACAGAGACGAGAGACAACACAGTGAAAGAGACGTAGAAAATATACACAGATACAGAAAGGGAGACAGAAAGACAGACATATACATGTCAAAAGAGACATACACACAGAGAAACAGACGAAGACACACACACAGACACATGTAGAAATGCGTGCATACCAGAAGACACACCCAGAAAGAAACACCCACAGAAAGATGGGGTCAAAGGGGGCCAGAGGGAGTCAGAGCAACAGAGACATGCAGAGATGTACAGATGGAGACAGAAAGGCACTCCAAGACAGAGACAAGGAGAGAGACAGAAAGAAAAGGATACATACAGATATGCACAGGCAGAAGGAGAGAACAGTCAGAGACAGAGAAACAGTTTGAAAGACAGACTGAGAGATGGCCAGAGAGAGAGAGAGGGAGAGAGAGAGAGAGAGAGAGAGAGAGAGAGAGAGAGAGATAAGAGGGCACAGCATCTATCTATACATGGGAGATAAAGCCATAAAGAGAGAGGTTTTAAAAATGTTACGTTTTTATTTGAGGTCTCTTGTAGTAAAATATTGCAAATCTGGGATCCTTGGGAAGCTAATCATCCTGAATATAATATTACATGTAGTTGAAGGCTTAAACTTTTTGTACATTGTTTTTATTTCCTCTAATTTTATAACTTAAAAAATATAATTATCATCAAACATTAGACATATCTCTCTTTTTAGGTTTTCCCTCCCCCAGTAGGGCTCCTTTTTCACCATATATTTATCTCTTATGAAGGTTAAAGGCCATTTGCAGGGATCGTTCTATCATTGTACGAAATAAGTTAACAGCTACACATTCTTTTCAGACATAGGATGAAGATGTGCTTTCTGAGTATGCCTTTTTCTGATTTCTGCATTTGCTTTTGATTTCCATGCTGCTATAAATTTCTTGTAGTTTATGCCAACCATTGGCAACTTTTCTTATTTGTGATTCTAGGCTGCTTATTATGAATTTAGAATCCAGGTAACTGATTGAATTGTGTATAAAATAATAGCAAATAATATCTGAGTAAGGTAGTCAAAGGTTTTTAATGCAAAGTTAAATGTTTTAATGAATGGACTTTGACCTGCTTTCTTTATATTCAAGTTTGTGCTATGCATATGTTGATGTGAAGCTGGGGACTACTTTTTATAGCTGTGTTTATTCATTTATGAAAGTAAGCAAACATTCTTATTTTGAAGAGCTCAAAGCAGTTTTACTTAATTTACGTACAAAATAAGAGGAGGTAAATAATGGTGCCCCTGTTACTTACGTTCCCTATTCAGAGGTTACATTGCTGTGAAAAGTCATGTGTGCAAATTATAGACAAAAGGATTTTTAAGAAGACAAAGGAATTATTTTTAATATGTTTAAAAAGCTAGAGGCTGTGGGGGAAATTCTCATAAATGTAGAATAAGCAGGAAAGTGCAAAGGAAGGGAGCTGCTAAAGCTCTGGACACTTATGAAAAGGAAGGTTTTAGGGCTATGGATACTTAAATAGTTTGCAGGAAACACAGACCACAATAGAGGTGATTGAGAAACATCATTAAAGAAATTTGCATTTTTACAGGCTTTTTTTTTTTGACAATGAAACTATAAAGTACCTGTTAATGAAACATTAGGAGAAATAAAATTAAACAGGTAAATGTGAAATCTTTTGAGTTTTGTGATAACTGATACGTTAAAACAGTAAAATCTACAACATGGTCATCTCCTTGATCATGGGTTTTATCATAAAGCCCAGATGGCTTCAAAACTCTCTTACACTAATGTTTATAGTCTACTCTTGTAAGTAGTTATTGTATTTAATATTATTTTACTTATTTTTTAATGAAATCAAGCTAATTAAAAACTTGCATTATATAGATTTGCTTTTGTGTTATCTTACAAATTTTTTTATAAAGAGTGCTGAAGTGAATATTCTTTTCCTAGCTTTATTGTAGAAATTTTGCTGAAATATTTGAAGTTAAAGAATTGATGAGGTGTATAATGTTAACAGACATAACGAATTACATTTTTCTTTGTTTTTGTCACTATAGATAGTTTGGAAAATGTTAAGCTAAGGTTGGTAGGTAGGATGGGTGAAGACATCTATAAAAAGTGTCCAGGTTTCTTTAAGTAGTTAGGAAAACACCCCTGAATGAATGAAATTTGAAGCTGCTGGAAGCAACATGTGAGTGAATAAACATGCGTTGCCAAGCGAGCATCAATAACATGTGGCTCCTTAAGAAGTAAAGGATGTTTTGCCCTTTTGTGAAAATTTTGTTTTTAAGTTCCTTTTTTTTCTTTCTTTTTAAGAAAAAAAAAATGAAAGGTCATAATCATATGGAAAGTTAATCTTCATAAAGAATGAGTTGTTGTGATTGGGTGGTTAGCCCTTTTTAGCATTCATTATTTACTTGACTATATAAGAAAAAGGGCATGGGGTCAGAAACCCCTTATGAGTCATTAATTGGAATAGTATAATAAATTTCTGGAGATTATTAGCAAAAACATGGTTTAGTTTTAGAGTATACAACAGTCCATTGGAAATAGTTTACATATTATTTATGAATAAACATGTATGCCATAAGCATACATACCTACAGTAATATAGGTAAAAATGAGGAATGGATGCCAGTTAAACTTAGAATATTGTGAAACATAATTAAATTTAGAACCTTTAGGGGTCAGTGTTCCCTAAGAAAGGTTAAAAAAGGTTACTGTGCCTATCCAGATTAAATCTTAAATCTTCTCTGTTTTAAATATTTCTCACTGATTGAAGGTAAGAATCACACAGCTTGAAGAAGCTTTAGACAAAACCTTACAAGGTTATGAGTTTCTTCAGTAGTATTTTTAGGTTTGTTATTTTAGAAAATTATATTTAATATGTATTTAATACACAGAGTAGTTATTTTTACTTACATATTATCTCAGTTTAAATATGAATCATATTTTTAAACTATGTATTTTAACCTTAAAAAGTAAGCATGATTCTAAATCACTGTACTCATATGAAACATGAGATGAAAAACCACTTCTAGAACTACTTGTGTTAATGGAGTCCTTACATGTTGCAGTTTATTGGAGGCCAGCAAAAATTTTTTAAATCTTATCTTGCTGAATTTAAAAGTATAAAGCAACAGTCCTCTTTATTTTAGAACTGAACTAGCAATTACCTTTTGTAATCATGATGCTTAAGGTTCTTCTACCAAACAAAATAAATAACTAGGACTAAAACCAAGCAAAGGGTAACTTGTAAGTGGTTCACTAGTTTCTTATTGAGACAAACACTATTTAATTTTTGCTTGGCATTTGGAACTTGTGTGCCACCATCAATCTCTTATTATTGGTTCATTTCTCTTTCTTTCTGTCTTTTCACAAAATATATATTCTTTTTACCTTTTGTCCATCTGTTGTTCTGTAATTGAATTATGTCTAAAACTGTTGCATGATTTGCAAGCATTTTATGAGTAGACATCTATAGAAACACTGTAGAAAAAAACATCTAGGATCCTTTTAAATGCCTTTGATCATTTTGACTAAAATATGATTGTAGACTCATAACATTTTCATAAAATATTTTTCTTTAAAGCAGTGGGAAAGGAAATGGCAAGTTGCATAGAATGGACACCCATTTCTACCAGCAAGATAGCTGGTAGAAAAAAAAAAAGATTCCCTAGGCACCGTAATTAGACAGTCCTTGGAATACAAGGTTTTAAAAATATCTGGATAATCATTCTACATTAAATTATAGGACTTGAATTGTATTTAATAATTGGCTTTCTAGTAACTGTATATTTTCCCTAAATAAGTAATGCAATTTGTTTTTGTTTGTTTTAAAGCAGAAGTTAAAGTGCGCTGGAAAACCAATGCGTGTAATAATTTCAATAAAATGTTACAATAAAAACAACACAGGTTTTGGAACTAGATAGACCTGTGTTTCAGTCTTTTAATCTTCCACTTACTAGCTTACTTACCTGGACTTGGGTAAGTTTCATAATTTTTTTTTTAAGCGTGAGTTTTCTTGTGTATGGAAGAGATAATTCCTCTAGAACTGTTTTGAAGGTTAGGAATTGTGTATGTAAAAGCCCTACTGCAATACTTGAAACAGGAAATGAGTTTATTTAATATGTATTTCATATACTAGAGTATTTTCAGTATTGTGGTGGTGATAATGGTGTTTACAGATGAGGGGGGAAAAAAAAGATTGTTGACATATTTTACACAGGGCCTAAATAAATGGAGTGGTTGTTGTCATTGTTATTCCATCCAGCTGTAAAAGGTGTGTGAATAAAAAAGTTTTAAAAGTATTAAGAAACATAAATACCAGTACTTGAAATCATTAGTTTTTAAGAAGTCTGTTCTCTTTACATATGTTCACAATATCATTAGAAACTTGATTTTTTT